CCTCCTCTCCCTTCTGCTCCCCCCCTTCTCTCTTTCTCTCTTTTCCCCTCCCTCCTCCCCCTTCCGTTTTGGGCCTCCAACCTAGGGCCTTGTGAATGTTAGGTAAATACTCTACCACTGAGCTGTGTCCCAGCCTATTCTATTTTATTTTATTTTAGTTTTTGTATTATATTTCTTACTAGTCTTGCCAAGTTCCTCAGGCTAATCTTGAACTTTCGATCCTCCTGCTTCCACCTCCCAAGTACTTGGGGTTATAGACGTGGACCCTTGTGCCCGGCCTGGTGGTGTTTTCTAGTCAGGTCTGCGTTGTCCCTGTGCTCTGGCCTGAGGATTTCTGGCCTTGTCACACCCCATTCATGTGAGCTAGGCACCTGGTCATGTGGTGGTCCGGGCTGGTGGCAGCAGGTGATATTTGCATGCAGAAGCTAACAGGTCACCGCCAGCAGCCCGTTCTTCAGGTGTTCAGGGCCCTTCTCCCAACTTCCTGCTTAGGAAAACAGACCTTGTGGGCAAGGTGGCCCCTGGGGCTGTACTTCCCTTGCCAGGCCCTCTGGGCACAAACATGAGGCTGGCTGGGTATGGACACAGTAGGAGGGAGGCAGGACGGAGCAGTGCATGCCTGCTTCAGCTCCAGGCTGCTTTTCTTTCCTTTTGCCTTTCTGTTTGCTTGTTTATGTATTTATTTGAGGTACTGGAGATTGAACCCAGGGCTGTAGTATTCAGCTACAGCCACAGCCCTTTCTTAAAAAATCAGGGCCTCACTAAGTTGCCAAGTTGCCCAGGCTGGGCTCAAACTTGTGATCCTCCTGCCTCAGCCTCCCAGAGTGCTCTGGGCGCTTTTCCAGGTAGCTGGGAGAAAGCGCCTCCTTCTGGAATACACCCTTGGTTTTTTCTGCTTGGACTGGTGGGTCTTCTAAGCCCAGGAAAGGTAATTTTCTACACTGATAATGGGGTGCAGGGCAGTTTTGAATTTTTTAGTTTATCTCTTCATGGTAAAATTTACCATCCACGTCATCGTCAAGTGTATATTCAGCGGCGTTATGAATCTCACTTGCCACTGCATGTTATCTTCCTCTCTCCTTCCTCCTCTCATCTCTTCCGCTTGCTGTTTATTGGCGGGAGTCTGTGGTGAGCCCAGACCCTGGCCAGGCAGGCTTCCTGGCCTCTGGAGTGAAGTCTGCTTGTCGTTCCGGCCCCGACCTGGGTCCTCCTGCCTGGAGAACGGCTTCCTGCACCCTGCTGTCCTGTTGGGGAGGGTTCACCCAGACTCTGCTAGGCCGAAAGACGGGCCACATGCTTGCGTTAGCTGCCTGGGATTTGTTTGCCGCCCCAAGACTGCACTTTGGAATTTGTAAGAGATTTGTTTCTACTTCTGGGACGGTTGCAGAGTAGTATCTAGGCCCTGAAGTTGTATAGAAAGTGGTTTTTTTTCCTTCTTAAATTTAACTTTATTTTGCAATAATTTTATACTTTTCATACAGATTTCATTTTAAAATGTGATAAAAAATAGTAGTAGAGGCCAGGGATGTAGCTCAGTGGTGCTGCTGCCTGCCTCCCAAGCGCAAGATCCTGAGTTTGATCCCTGGTACCAAAAAAAAAAAAATAGTAGTAGAGCTCCCCGTGTACTCCCTGAGTGTCCCTGTGCTAACATCTTATGTAACTGTGACTCAGTTGTTCACATAATGAGTTACTCATAACAAAATTTCTGTCAGTGACAGACCACACAGAAAACTGTTTGGTTGGTCTTTGGACTTTTGGCCCTCCTGGGGATTGAACCCGGCACCTCACACATGCCAGGCAGGTGCTCTGCTGCTGAGCTATACCCCAGCCACATAGAGGATTGTGGTTGCATAAATAATGAAGCTGAAAGATTGCCCTGCCTGGTGCCATCATAGTGCAGTATGTTATTCACATGTTTGTGGTAACGCTGATGTAGACAACCTGCTGTGGTACTGGTTATATGAGAGTACTGTACAACACACCCATGCTAGACGTGCACACCTGTGGTCGGAGCACTGTGAGAGACTGAGGCAGGAGTCCAACTTGGGTGACTGAGTGATTTAGTGAGACTTTGTCTCATAATAAAAAAAATTTAGAAAGGGCTGCGAATGTAGCTCAGTGCAAAGACCCTGGGTTCAATCATCAGTACTGCCTCTCCCCCAAAAGTGTGCATTGTGTAATACTTGATCCTGATAAATGACTATGTTAGTGGCTTATGTGTTCACTGTACTGTAGTTTTTATTGTTATCTAGAGCATATTCCTGCTACTTGAGGAAGTTGACAGAAAACAGTGTGCTGTATTATACCAGCATCAGCCTTCTGTGTCTCATGTTTGCTGTCTCGAGTGCATCAAGAGGCTATGTTGGAGCAGAGAGCTATGATTCAAGCTATGCTGGACGCCGAGGCAGGAGGACCACAAGATTGAGGCCAAACTGGGACAACTTAGTGAGATCATGTCTCAAAATAAAATTTAAAAAATGGCTGTGGATGTAGCTTAGTGGTAAATTGCTTGCTTCGCATGCATAAGCTCCTAGATTCAAGAAATAAGAAAAAGGGCCAGGGATTTAGCTCAGTGGTTCCGGCACCTGCCTCGAAAGCGCAGGGTCCCAAGTTCGATCCCCGGTACCAACCAAGGAACAAACAAAAAAAAACACAAAAAAGGAAATAAGAAAAAAATAGAGAAATAAGGAGGGCCAGGGATTTAGTTCAGTGGCACACTGCTCTTGCCTCGACAGTGCAAGGTTCTGAGTTTAATCCCTCGTACGAAAGAAAGAGAGAGCGAGAGAAAGAGAGAAAGAGAAAGAGCAAGCTTTCTGAGTGATTGACCTAGACCTTCTGGGTTTGTGTAAGTGCACTGCATGATGTTTGCTTAATGAGTAAATTGCCTGTGGTATGTTTCTTAGAATGAGTCCCTGTCATTAAGCAATTATCAGACCAGCAAATTAATGCTGGCACCATCCTGTCAGTTACTGTCCGCTGATGTTTTCTTTCTGCTCCATGATCGAATTCAGAATCCTATATTGCATTTAGTTGTCAGATCTCCTGCTTCTTCTAATTGTCCACCTTTGTCTCCCATGACCTGGACATTTTTATTCTTTTCTTTTGGTACCGGGGATCAAACTCGGGACCTTGTGCTTGCAAAGCAGGCAGCGGAATCCCTGAGCTGCATCCCCGGCCCGACCTGGACATTTCTGAAGAGTGGCCGATTACTCTGTAGAATGTCCTTCACCTTGGGTTGGGCTGAAGTTGCCTTGTGGCTGTCTCAGGTTATGGATTTTGGCAGCTACAGAGATATTGTGTTGTGCTCAGTGCTGCTCTCGGGAGGAATGTGTCAGCGTGGCTGTTACTGACTAGGCAGCCTTTGGTTCCTGGAGAAAGTGGTGCCTGCTGTCTCTGCTCTGTGCAGCTGCTGCTCTGTTTGTGATTAGTAGGCATCTGACAGGAGGAACTTCAGACTGCATTTAGTTTATTTTTCATCATTCATATTTGGCTTACAAATGGGAGCATCCTTTAGTAATTAGTTTTGTTTTTGTTTGTTTTGCTTTTAAGACAGGGTCTTGCTATGTGGCCCAGGCTGGCCTCAGATTCATGACAATCCTCGTGCCTCAGCCACCTGAGTGCAGGGTGCTCTCCACCACACTCGGCATCCTTGGTGATTCTTGTCCGAGCTGTTAGGTTTGGCAAATAATGATTTTCTATTCTCATTATTCATTCACTCATTAATTTCATGGGCATTTATTATATTCTTTTTTTATTTTTTGGTACCGGGCTCGTGTCGCATTTGCTATTCCCTGGCCCTGCTCTCAGCCCTGTCCCCAAGGAGAGTGGTGTTCAGAAGATGAGGTGTACAGGTCGCCCCTGGGTTTCCCAGGGAAATCTTGATGAGTCTTGACGGAGGCTGGAAAGGAATGCTGGCTTTCTGGAGTGGCTGAAGTGCTGCCGGGGAAGCCCCTGGCTCCTGAGGAAGCTGTTAGACCCGGTCTTCGTGGGGCTGCTGACCTCGTTAGGGACTGGCTCCCCCCTGAGCTAGGCACAGATAAAGCCAGCTTGCCACCCCCAGGTTAGGATCAGGGCTCACCGGTGCTTGTCATATCAGCACCACTGCTCAAACGGCTTTTTAAAACTCCCAGTGATATTTGAGAAGGGACAGGCTCCACAGCTGTGGTCACCGGGCTAGAAGAGCGCAAACCTGGGGAGAAGCCTGTGCTGCTGCCCCAGCCCTGCCCTTTCTCTGCTGGCCAGAGCTCCATGAGACCGTGAGCGGGGTCCTGCCGAGGGCGTCTCTCTTAGGGTCCTCAGGAACTTTTAATTTGCTGCTTATGAGGTGCCCTCTTGCTACATCTGTGGCCTTCCTCTCTTCTGAAAGTCAGACAGCCAAATTGCTGTCGATCGCCCCACTCACCTTGGTGTCCAAACCCAATCTCCCTTCACGAAAAAGCAAGCAGGCCGCGATAGATGGGTTTGGAGCTTTTCTTCTTGAGAGATAATTTGTTGCTGCTTCTTCTCTTCACAGCTTGCCAGAGTGACAGAAGCAACTCGAAAGGAATTGAGGTCCCAGATTGTCATGTTCGGAGGGTATTGGTTTTACCTTTAACTGTGACCTCTAAACTTCTTGATTTATTGAGAACTTGTTTAAATTTTAATTTTTTATGGTGGAAAATTTCAAAATTACATAGAAAAGTAGATATCAAATCCTCATCATATTCCAGTACCCAGCTCAATAATTCTTAATCCGTGGCCAGTAATGTTTTATTTAGACAGCCATTAGTATAACTTTCCCCCACTCCTTGTTAGCTCACAACAGGTGCACATAATTAATCTGTAAATTTTTTTTCTTTTTTTGGTACCGGGGATGAAACTCGGGTCCTTGCACCTGCGCAGCAGGAGGGGAAACCTCTGAGCGAAATCCCCAGGCCCTGTAAATATTTTAATATGCATCTTTAAATGGTGATTTTTTAAAAGCATAGTATGATGCGTACATTGAAAAAATAAGTTTATCATAATTGTTTAATATCATCAAATCGATGTGTTGAAATTCACATGATTTTTAAATTTTATTTCCTATTTGATTAGCACGTGTTTGGAGTTCAGGCAGTTCCAGTCATCCTGGGGAGTGGCTATGTGTACATACCGAAGCTTGTTTCTTGCTTTAATCCCCTCCCCGCCCCTCCCTCCCTCTTTCTCCAGTTCCCCTTTCCCATTTTTCATTCTTGTTGATATTATCTGTCTTAACTCATGTTCTGGTGTATAGGGTTTACATATGTTGGGGTTATTAGGTTCCCGTCCTGGCACTTCTTTATTCCTCGCATTTCCCCTTCTCCTCCTCCTCACCTCTCACCCTTGTTCCCTGGTCCACTTCCCTATTGCACAAGATCCATCCTCTTGTACCTTTCTGTCCATGAGAGATTGCACATGGTATTTCAGCTTGTGTGTGTAGTTTATTTCACTCAGTAAATTTCATGATTTTTCCTTGCAGAATCAAGAATAATCCAAGAAAAATTATGGCTCTGCAGTCTTTTTAAGTTTTTTTTTCTTTTGGTACCAGGGATGAAACTTGGGACCTTGCGCTTGTGAGGCAGGCGCCGGAACCACTGAGCTAAATCCCCGGCCCCTGCAGTCTTTTATAAAAATTTGTTTTGTTTTTTGAGACAGGGTATCGTTATATAGCCCAGGCTGGCCTTGAACTTGTGTTGATTCTCTTGCCCTAGATTCCAGTACTGGAACTACAGGTGTGCACCACCATGCTGGCTATTTGCAGCCTTTTATTTTTCACATTCTCCTCTCTTTCTCCCTTGCCATTTATTTATTGAAATGAGATTATACATCCTATGGAGTTCCATACAGACTGGATTTACTGTTTGTACCTTCATGGTATTATGTAGTACGCACGTTGCTGTGCCCGCTTGTATTTTCTGTGAATGAGTAAGTTAGAGGCTGTATCACGTTTGGATCTGTTACACGAGCAAGGGCTAAAGAGGAGGTGGAGCTCTGTCCTGTGAGATGCACGTGCTCAGCCCTTTTTCTCATCATTTACAACCCAGTAACTCATTTGAGAAGATAAAATGGTGATGATCCCACTTTCGTAATTCTTTCTTCATTTATTGCTGGAGTAGTTCAATAAAATTCTCATTAACTATTTGGTGACCTAGAGGCATAGCTCATGTCGGGGAGATAAATCGGTGTTGGATTCCCTTCTTTTACTTTATCATTTTCAGAATAACAGGTTGGTTTTGTAGTCTGTAAGGACAGTTGTGAGTTTTGTGTGTCATTATGAATTCCTAGATTAAGCATATTTCATGCGCTCTAGTCTCCTGCTGACATTCTTACTGATGCTCACATTGTCCCATCTTGGAAGTCTTTGGAAGCCTCTCAAGTCTGCTCTTGTATCCTTACATCCTTGCTGGCTCTGATAGACATTTCAGGCTCATCTTGTATACTTCCTGGGCCAGACCTGTAATTGGCCACGTCTCTAAGAAGCAGTGGTTCCTGTGAGAAGGGAGTGGAGTTTAGAGCCCACAACGTGGGTGTGAGTAAGGAGTAGTGAGGGCCACGTAGCCCTGGGGGCTCTAAGTGGATCTGTTTCTCCTGTGGTCTCCGCTGCGAGTGCAGCTGGTAGTGGGATGACGGGTCCCTTTTGTAGCTGAGTGACAGAAACAGTCCGGTGAACACAGTGCAGATTCTGTTTGACGGGTGACATCTTGTTCTCCAGTACTTCCTTTCGGTAAGTGACGTGGTGACACTGTGTTTGCAGAGGAGCTGGAGGCAGAGGCAGCAGAGGCACTGCACTAGTCAGAGTTTTAAATGTGGGCTCGTCAGGCTGAGCTGGGGGTTACGTCGGTCCGGCCGGAACTCGGCCGGGACTCCTGGGCCCCATGACTTCGGGGCCCCGGGTTCCACACTTCCCCAGTTCTCTGAGTTACGTGCCCAGAGGGGCTCACGAATACGGCGTCCAAGCCATCTTCCCGTTGCCCTCTCTTAGGAGGGTCTGACTGTGCTTTTGCTGACCGGTGAGCCACAAAGAAGATAAGTGTCTCCCTGAAGTTGTGGTTCAGGTAGCTGCCTTTCTGATGGATATGTTTTTTGCCTAGGTTTGGAAGGTCGCCGATGCATCTGTTTCATAATTATTAGGCTCTGCCTAATAAATGCTGTGTTCACTGCTCCATTGAGCACGCGGAGAAAGGAGCAAAGGAGACTTGTCAGCGCTTCCTTTCCCGGCCCCCTGCCGTCCTCTGACTTTGTCGTGGTGGTTTCCTGCAGACTGGGTCCCCTCGCGGGAGCGGGTGTGTCCCACTCATGCAACGCAGCATCGGCTTATGGGAGAGCCGAGGCCTGACTTCTTACCCACACCCGCATGGGCTCCCTCATTTCAACGGGGCTTTAAAGATGTATTTTGCATTTTTTGGCGTGATTGTACCAAGGTGAGTTGGCTTCTGATTTTAATAGAATTGCTTTTACTTCAGGAAGAAAAATGCTAAAATCAAGACGGGGTACAAGCGGGAGCACATCAACCTGGGCTGCGACGTAGACTTCGACATTGCGGGGCCCTCGATCCGCGGAGCCCTGGTGCTGGGCTATGAGGGCTGGCTGGCCGGCTACCAGATGAATTTTGAGACTGCCAAGTCCCGAGTGACCCAGAGCAACTTTGCAGTTGGCTACAAGACGGATGAGTTCCAGCTTCACACCAATGTGTAAGTGGACATTGCGTACGGAGTGGTCGTAGGGAGACTTCACTTCACTTTCTCAGCTCAGATTTTAGTCACCGGAATGTGAGTTTATTGGCTTCTGAGGAGCCAAGTGGTCTGCTAGCATTTGCTTCCTACCTACCCATTTCCTGAATCCTCTTAGATTCTTTCTATTCTGTGAGCCACAGATATTGCCACTGGGACCCACCAAATGACCAATGAATCCCAGTAGGGCTGAAGCAGTTCCCTTCCCTGAAATCTTCTGGGCTCTGGCCGTCCTTTGGGTTTTCCTTATCAACTGAGGGGAGTGGGTAGCAGGTACGAAGCTTTCTTCCTCCGGATAATGCTTGCGGGTCAACGTGCTGTGCTCAGTGAAATGTGACAATGGCAGACAAATGAAGAGGTGCTGAGCTCAGTGAAGTACAAGGTGTTTTCTCTGCATGGTTGGGTGTTTAACAGCTTAGTAACTGGTGGACAGCATGGTGAAGGAAAGAGAAGAACACGGGGGAGGTTTGAGAGGGCCCATTTAGGATCAGACCTGAGAGCTGAGGTAGTGATGACATGGGTTAAGCGAAATGCAAATTCCAACTGTACAAATAATTTTGTTTTAGTTCTGTGAGGAATGAACCTGTGGCACCAGTTGGGTAGAACTTTACTGGCTTTCTTTCTTTCCACTAGAGGTCGCTAAAGAAGTGACTTCTGAGACGTTAAGTGGTGGTAATTTGTAAATTATTTCCAGTAATATGTTTTGTAAGGAATTTTTATCATTTTTAAACACTTGAGTCTTTGTTTAGTGGGGGGGTACTGGGATCAAACTCAGGTCCTTGCGCTTGCGCAGCAGGCGGCGGAACCACTGCGCTAAATCCCCGGCCCCAACACTTGAGTCTTTTAAAACCAGGGGGACAGGAAGGTGTGGTTCAGAGGGGCACCTTGAGGGAGTTTGGGCTGATGGAACTGTTCTGTGTCGTGACTGTTGTGCTGATTACACAAATCTGCACACGTGTTGAAAGTTATAGAAGTGTACATCAATACACGGTCAGTTTCATTGAATGTTAAAGAGGACATACATAGGCAAGATACTAAGGCATGGAAGTTGGCATCAGTTCTAGAAGGGACTGTGGCTGCTCCATTTCCCCACATACCTGAGGCTCAGCATTTCCAGTAAATTACAAGTGGATCTGGCTTCTTTTGGGAACAGCCATGGAGTCAGCTGACTCACCTCCTCCTCGCTGCCCTAGTGTTGGTGGGGCCCAGATGTGGAACAGATGTTCCTTTGTTCCCTGTATGTGAATTGGAGCAGGGAGCTCCCTCTGCTTGTGGTTTTGAAAGCCCAGTATAGGAAAGCAGTATTGCATTTGTGGTTACAATGTTCTGGGCATTCTGACCTTTTTTTCTTTTAAAATACATTTAAACCCAAGAAATTTCCCCATTTGATTATTAAAGCCACAAGAAAATCTGTTCTTTTTGACAGGCTGCTGTTTTGGAGCACACTTGGGCTGTTTGAAGACAAGATTCTAAGTGAAGCAGCGTGCCTGGGCTCTCCCTGTGTTTGCTGGAAGCACCGAGTGTGGCTGAATCTCAGGGGAAACTTAGAAATTAGAATGCATTTAGTGAGCACCTCAAGCCAGGCATGTGGTGGCTCATGTTCATGGTCCCAGCACTCAGCATGTTGAGGCAAGAGGATCCCCATGAGTTTGAGGCTCGTCTGGGTTACGTGGCAAGACCTTGTCTCTAAAACCAAACCCCACTCGCCCCACCCTGAATATATTTAGTAAGCATCTACTTCAGGGAGCTTCAGGAAGTGCATATGGTGAAGAGCACAGTAATTTGTTGTTAGGTCCTTAAGCCCTTTGCTGGGTTCCTAAGCGCGTGTCCCCTGACTCACACTGCCAGTGCTGTTTCCACTGGAAGTATCCAAAGTGACGTGGCAGAACTTTGACCTTGACTTTAAGTAAAAATGTTTGAGAGGGTCTAGGCAAGGAAGAGGATTATTCTTTTTTAAAAAAGTTGCAGCATTAAACATTTTCTTAAGATTTTGTCACAGGAGTGTAAGCTCCTGGGTATAATAACCAAGAAGTATGGGAGGGCCTGTAAGAAGTAGCCCTTGTTTGTTTGCTTTTGATGCAGGGCCCCACTAAGTTGCCCAGCTGGCCTTGGACTTGGCCGTCCTCTCGCCTGCCTGGGATTACAGGCATGGTGGGTGTGCCCAGGCACGTTAACCATTTGGGTTTCCCATGGTTCCTTTGGAGAAGAAGGATGCTTTTGACCAGGCCCTGATGTGCAGCAAAAGCGGTAGTGGTGAGGTGGAGAGGTGAGGCTGGAGGAGGAGGCCAGTGTGAACTCTCAGCTCTCGGGTATTGAGGGGGGGTGGCCACACAAGCTGCTCTTCGGACTCTGCTGAGTGGAGCCGACTTCCCAACCCCAGAGTTTAGGCAGGGCCCCAGAAGATGAGGAGGAGGAGGAGGACCTGGAAGGCTGGGGAGGGGAGGGAAATCAGCACAGTGTGCTGAAGAGAGGAAGGAATTTGGCCTACTGACATTTTATTCTGAATATTTTTGTAAGATTGGGGCCGGGGATTTAGCTCAGTGGTTTCGCCGCCTGCTGCACAAGTGCAAGGACCCGAGTTCGATCTCCGGTACCAAAACAGAAAACAAAAAATATTTTTGTAAGATTGAAACATTTTGTAATGTGGCAAGAAATTTCCTTAAAGTCCTAGCGAGACCCTAAATGTTACATGTGTGAACGGTACCCACAGGTGGACCGGTGCGTTGTGCTGCTTCTCCAGGAGCGGGGACGACGGTGGTGGTGTCAGCAGGGGCTGTGGCTATAACCTGCTATAACCTGGCTTCCAAGGAGCACGAGGGGCCCAGCCCTTCTCCACAGCTCCTCGTTTGCTTTCCCTTCTCTGCCATCTTTCTGATAGGATCATTTATAAAAGTAGTAACATGAGGAGCAGAAAAGAGCAGTCACTCAGACTCTGCTGTCCTGGTTACTTCTATTTTAAAGAGCGTGTGGAAACAGTCTTGGGTTCAGGGCTGCTTGAGTAGTTGGTGGGGCTGGGCTGCCTTTGGATGTTCTCGGGATGACTGAACTAACTTTCACCTTCCAAACTTTCCTGACTCTGGTGTATGTCCTATTTTGTTTATTTGTTTTGGAGGGGAGGTGTGTGTTGTTTTTGAGACAGGTCTCACTCTGTAATCCAGGCTGGCTTCAAATTTGCCATATGCCTAGGGTGGCCTTGAATTTGGGATCTCCTGCTTTAGCTCCCAAGTGGTGGGATTTTTAGGTGTGTCCCACTGTGCCAGCCAGTTCCATTCCTGTCTGGCTTCTTCCTGTTTTGTGAAATTTGGCAAACTTCTGGCCTTCTTAGTACCAGTGGTTGGTTCAGTTCATTTCCAACACATGTGGATTCTTGCCATCGTGGGCAGCTCTGTGGGCACCAGCTCATCTCCCCGGTCAGCTCGGCATCTGTGCTGTGCTTCTTTGCAGGAATGATGGGACAGAATTTGGTGGCTCCATTTACCAGAAGGTAAACAAGAAGCTGGAGACGGCTGTCAATCTTGCCTGGACAGCTGGAAATAGTAACACTCGCTTTGGAATAGCAGCCAAGTATCAGATCGACCCCGACGCCTGCTTCTCGGTGGGTACCTGTCACTCATCTGCCAGGATTGTTTCTTCCTAGAGATTCTCTCACTGTGAAGAGTCCCAAACAGTACAATGAGAGCTGGGTGTGGTGGCAGACAACTGTGGTCCGAGCACTTAGGAGGCTGAGGCAGGAGGATCACTGTGAGTTCAAGGCCAGGCTGGGCTACATAGTGAGTTCAAGACCAGCCTGAAATCTACATAGTGAGGTCCTGTCTCCAAAACAAACAAACAAAACCCCCAAAATAAAAACAACTCCCCCTAACAAAAAACAGTATAATGATAATAGAGTCCTTTCTCTAGATGCTAGGCCTTTTACATATGGGGTTTGCATATAAGTCCATTTGAGGTGGACACTCTTTTTCTTTTTAAAGTATCCCTGTTTTTACGTATGAAGAACTGGAAGCTTAGGAAAGAGGATTGAGTAACTTGTCGCAGGCACACAGCAGGTAAAAGGCGGGGCCTGCATTTGACCAGAGGACCTTGTTATTGAGCCTTTTCCTTGCACCAGGCCCTGTTCTGTAATCCACACTGTTAAGGGGGGGTGCTCTGAAGCCTAGAGTTTTAAATGTTTGTTTTTTCCCTCCTTTTTCATTCTCACTTTTAGCCCCTGCAGTGGACATTAAGAAATCGGTAGGCCGTTGGTGTCTTATTGATTAGACCCTGTGGCGTTGCTCATGGGTGGTTGAATTGCTGCACAGGTTTTGCAGTAAACCCTGTTGGATTTGTTCCTGCACGCCTTTTGGGGTGGAATGAGGAAGTCTCATGTTGCCTAATGGTTTCTGCTGGCTTGTATAATTTATGGACAATCCATTTTAAGTCTCCTGAACTAGGAACTGAATTTGGCTTCCTCAGCATTAGGCACATTAAAAACAAGAGAAAAGGGCCCAATTGTTTAGATGTTACGAACAAAAAGGAACAGTTAGAAGGGGCTCTGCTTGCCAGCAGCCTTCACACTCCCTCTTTGCTCTTATGAAGAATGTCAGTGCTCACAGCACATCGAGCAGGAAAATTGCATGCACTGTACATTTATTTCATTTGATTCTAAAGTCCAAACATGGTGAAATACAAAGCTCTTACTCACTTTGTAGATGGAAGGATGAAACACTTAACATTTTCACTGCTTTACTTTTTCCTGTCTAGGCCAAAGTGAACAACTCCAGCCTGATTGGCTTAGGATATACTCAGACCCTAAAGCCAGGTGTGTGTTGCTCGTGTGTGAAGTCAGTTCTCTGAAACTGTGTTGTGGGCTTGCTCATTTATGCTATTGCTTATAAAATGCCTCTACGGGTCAGTGAAAATGAATGCACGTGAAGCTTTGTAATTAAATATTTATGAAGAAGTCACAGGGCCATTCTAAAACATTTAGACAATATGAGTAGTAAATAGAAAAAAGATCAAAGCTAATATATATATATATTTTATTATTTTCTTCTTTTTTCTACTGTGTACATGTTTGATACTTATTTCCAGCAAATCCTCACAACTGGCCTATAAATCACCATCATGATAAAAAGACAAAGAAATAGGAAAAGTGGTTTGTAGGTCTTTGCTGCATTGTCAGCTAGGCTAGTCCGTCACCTTTGAGCTTCCAAGAGGCTAAGATTACGTGAGGTTGGAATCAAGTTACTCCTGGGAAAATCGGTCTGCTAAATCCAAGCTTAGACTGTTCCTGGGAAAATCACTTTGCTTTGTGCCTGTGTATTCTTCACGTGCGCACACGGTGAAGGCGAATGTCAAGCTCAGTCCAGTTCAGGATTGGGGTTTCCCCTTATGAGATGATTGCTGAGGAAGCTGACTGTGTGGTACCCGTGGAAGGCAGACTGATTGTAGCAGAGAGATGATGAGAGGGAAGGACGGTTTCAGAAGTGGATTTAGGAAGGCTCTCTGGTGTGTGGAGTAGGAATAGTTGTTGTAGTGAGTCAGATGGTGTTAATTAACAAAGACTAAGGGGGCCCAGCCTTTGGCCCTTGCTGATTGCAGCTGGAGCCTGAATTTGGTGTTAACCTTTCTTTATTTTCCTCCAACTCTTCCCCTCTTCTGCCTGCTTTTCCCCCCTGCAGGAATCAAACTGACACTGTCAGCTCTGCTGGATGGCAAGAATGTCAATGCCGGAGGCCACAAACTTGGTCTAGGACTGGAATTTCAAGCATAAATGAATACTGTACAATTGTTAATTTTAAACTATTTTGCAGCATAGCTACCTTCAGAATTTAGTGTCCCTTTTAATGTTGTATGTCTGGGATGCAAGAATTGCTAAAAAATCATGTTAGAGCTCCAGGTTGAAGATGATTCAGCTTTAAGGTGTCACCAATTCAGAGGTACAGAAGAAACCTGATTCCAAAAAAGGTCCTTTCAGCTGTAGACTTGGGGGCAAGTTGGTGGCCCCTCTAGAGATGCCAGGTTCCTTTTTTGAAAATCTAGATGTGGCTGCAAGTGGAAGCTGACCATGTGTAGACACTTTGTAAGTCTGCACTGAGTTAATGAATGAAATGGTGACTTTCTGAGAATCAAACCTTAGTTTCCTAACCCTAATTGGTGAGAAGCCTAAGGCTTGATGGTGTGTACAAACTCATCTGAAAGGGACTCTTAGACGGATCTTCAGGACCTGTTCCCACCCTAGCCCCTCCTCACCTCTTTTACACCAAAAGTAGCCCACAGGGTGTGGTGGCTGTTTCTTTTGTGCCATTTTGGGATGGAGAAGGTGGATGTAATGAAGCCAGTCATTCAGGATTTATTTCCTTTTCATGTGGTTTTTTTGTCCTTGCACCAGTGTATGACCAGCTGCAAGCTGGGAAGTCTGCGTAACTGTAATCACAGGGTGACAACACTAGGAATCTAAATTGGGCTTATGTTGTATTCTTACCATTCAATTTATTTTTCAGCCATTTAATGGGTACATTTTAGAGCCTTCCATTTTGTGTGGAATTAGATCTTCCCCTTCAAATGCTGTAATTAGCATCATTTAAGATAAAACTTGAATAAAATATTGAAACCTCATCCTTCTGTTGTCTTTATTAACAGTGTAACTGAACAGGGAACTTCTTTAGATTTGTCCTTTTCCCCTTGCTTTGTGTGTATATTTTATATTATTTCTCTTTCTTTTTTCTTAAATTCTTTCATTGGTACATTTTAGGTATACAATACATTTACATTTATCATTGGGTGCTTGTACCTGTACATGATGGATCTTGGTTCTTATTTTTTCCCCATTCCCTGTGTGCCCTTCACCCCCTCCACCCTTCTCTATTTACATAGACTTTGTTTCCATGTTTTTCTTTTCTCATAATTTTTCCTTTCCCTTCTTCGGATCTTTTCTTCCTTTTTCAAATTATCGGTTATTCATTTTAATTGTTTTAATCCTTATTTACACTTTCAGTTTCTCACACTAGAGACTCTATTTGGCATTTACACGTGTGTCCTATTTATTTCACTTAAGAGGATGGCCTGTATGTGAGGGCGATCTGGCTGTGACATGTCACCCCATTGATCGCCAGGGTTGATTCGGCTGATCTGTCTGGCTAGGCGAGGGTCCCCTTCCTCCCTCACCGCTCCATGTGCGTCCCTCCCAAAGCTGTGCGCTCGGTTGAAGAGGACGACCACCCCCGATAGAGGAGGACTGTTTCCTCGGTCAAGGGTATACGAGTAGCTGCGCTCCCCTGCTAGAACCTCCAAACAAGCTCTCAAGAGTATGGCCTGGATATGCATCCATTTAGCTATAAATGTCTCTAGTTTCTCATTTTTTATGGCTGAGTAGTACTCCATTTTATAAAAAAACCACATCTTTATCCAGTTTCCAGTTGATGGGCACTTGGGTTGTTTCCAAGCTTTAGCTGTTATGAACATGGGTGCACATATGTCGCTGTGGTATGATATGATTCTTTTAATTCTTTTGGAAAGATACCCAGCAGGGGAATAGCTGGGTCAAATGGGACCTCTAGTCCTAGTTCTTTGAGGTATCTCCATACTGATTTCCACAGTGGTTGCACCAGTCTGCACTCCCACCACAATGGAGAAGGGTTCCTTTCTCCCCACACCCCTGCCTGCTTTTGTTATTGGTTGATCTCTTGATAGCAGCCATTCTTTCTGCGGTGAGGTGGAATCTCAGCGTTGTTTTCATTTGCATCTCTGAACATTTTTTCATATGTTTATTTGCTGCCTTTATTTCTTTGTCTAAGAAACATCTGTTCATTTTGGATGCCCACTTTTGAATTGGGTCTTTGAATTTGGGGGGTCTGATTTTTTTCAGTTCTTTATATATTCTAGATAGTAGTCCTTTGTCTGGGGTACAGCTGCTAAATTTTTTTTCCCCACATTGAAGGTTGTCTTTTAGCTCTGTTGATGGTTTCTCTTGCAGTGCAGAAGCTTTTTAATAAGATGAGATCCCAGTTGCAGAAATCAATGCAATGGAGACTAAGAGAACAATACAAAAAAATGAATGAATCAAAGAGTTGTTTTTTCGAAAGAATAAATAAAATCGATAAACCTTTAGCCAACCTTATCAAAAAAAAGGAAAGAAAAGGCTCAAATCCATGTGATCAAGAATGAAAAAGGTGAAGTCACAACAGACCCAGCAGAAATCCAGAGCATCGATACCTACTTTGAGAACCTGTAGTCTAATAAAGTGGAAAACAGAGAAGAAATGGACAGATTCCTAGATCTATACGAATGGCCAAAGTTAAATGAAGATACAGAAATTCTAAACACCCCAATTACAATGAGTGAAATTGAAAATGTAATTAAAAATATACCAATAAAGAAAAGCCCAGGTCTTGATGGCTTTGCTGCTGAATTCTACAAGACATTTAAAGAACTATCACCATTACTCTTTAAACTCATCAAGGAAATTGAAAGGGAAGCAATACTTCCAAATTCATTCCTAGAAGCAAGTGTTACTTTGATTCAAAAACCAGGGAAAGACCCAACCCAAAAAGAGAACTACAGGCCATTCTCCCTAATGAACATAGTTGCAAAAATCCTCAAGAAGATACTGGCAAACAGAATACAGAGGTCATCAAGAAGATCATACACCCTGACCAAGTCGGATTTATCCCAGGGATGCAAGGATGGTTCGACATACATAAATCAATAAATATAATACACTATATTCACAGAGCCAAGGACAAAAACCATATGATCATCTCAATAGATGCAGAAAAATTATCTGACAAAATCCAACACCCATTCATGATAACCCACAGAAAATTGGAATAGAACGTCTTTATCTCAACCTGATTTAAGATATCTATGAAAAACCCAACAGCCAACATCATACTAAATAGTCAGAAACTGAAAAGGTTAACGCTAAAATCAGGAACAAGACAAGGATCTCCACTATCACTACTCCTGTTCAATATAGTTCTGGAAACATTAGTCACAGAAATTAGAAAAGAGAAAAGGAATATTATTTCTCTTTTGAAAGTATCTTTTTTTTTTTTTTTTTTGGTACCGGGGATTGAACTTGAGATCTTGTGCTTTCGAGGCAGGCACTGGAACCACTGAGCTAAATCCCCAGCCCTTATTTCTCTTTTGATGCCTAACATTACTTTAAACTTAATGGCTTTAAAGAATCCTCATTTGGGCCAGGGATTTAGCTCAGTGGTTTCACCGCCTGCTGCGCAAGCGCAAGGACCCGATTTCAATCCCCGGTACCAACAAAAAGGAAACCTCATTACAGTTCTGCAGGTCAGAAACTCAGATAGGTTCTCATAGTGCTTGAAATTAGGCTGTCAACCAGGCTGTGTTCTCATCCCAGCCAGAGGCTGGAAGTCTTGTTCCTGGCCTCATGGGTGCTGCTGACTTGGTTCTTTTTGATTGTAGGCTAGAGGTCACCATTTCCTTGCTCAAAGCTGCAGTCCACCCTCAGTGCTTAGAGGTCACCAGCCTTCTTTGCCACGTGCTGCCTCCCACCTGCCCTGCCCGGAACAGAAAAACTCCATTCCCTCATGTTTTATTCCCCCTGTGCTTCACATCTGCAGGAAGAGCCTCCTTCCTTTTAAGGGCTCACTTGGTTAGGTCAGGCCCACGGGGAGTAATCGAACATAAACTTTAACTACTGGGCAAAGGAACCTCATCACAGTATAAGATCCATCACATTCACAGCATTCTCCCTGTGAATGGCTGAGGGAAGGTCATTGAAGAGGGGATTATTTTGGAATTCTATATATACTTTCAATCCGTGGAAATTTCATGCACAAAGAAACACATTCCAGCTTCAAATCTGACATTTTTTCCATTCATGATGTTAGGCAGAGTTCCTCTTTTTGGATGTTTGAAAGTGATATTCAAAACAGGTATCAGATTTAGTCTTAGCATTTGTGTAACTGGTCACCTAAAAAGATGGCTTCAGTATTTTTGTCATGGTATCTTCAGGTTTATAAGGACTTGCAGCTGTTTCTAAGTGAATGTTTAGAATTTGTCCAGAGCTGCTGGCACATAAGGTTGCTGGGTGGATCAGGTCAGGTGCCAGGTACAGTCTTAACTATTTTGAAATGAATAAAGGGTCCTCTGAGTAAAAGGGAGCATCTGCTCACCAGTTGTTACTACTAAGTGTCTGCCTTTTAGAGGCAGTGTGTTGGAATGTCACAGTGGAAGATGGTTTCAGTTCATAATTTCTCACCAGTTGAATTGAGATAATCTTATGAGGACAAATGGACTAAGTTGACAGAGGATGGGGAGAAGACTGAAGTGTTTATTACAGAAAAAGTCCTATTTAAGTCTGAAGCAGTCTCCAAACAAGCAGAAACTAGGATAGAAGAGTATTTGTTAAACCAAGTGGTTGTTTTCTGTAGTCAAAGAAGTGAAAGCTTCTCGGGAACTTGGGGAGACTTCGTGCCTTGGCTAACCCGGAAGGTTAGCAATAAAGGCACCGTTGCATCTATATAGGCTGTGGCAGACTTTGGAAAATGTGCACATGAATGACTTCTTGGTTTTCTTGACAGAGTTGCTGTGTTTCTGAGCTGTCTCTGGGGCCAGATAAATGCTACAGGGAAACTAGAACACAGGCCCTTCTCATTCTGTAAAGAGGCAGTTGGGCTGTCTGGGGACAGCAGCCATCTTCTGAGGGAATCACAGAGACAGTACTAAAGCTGTGGGTACAATAAATGCCTTTATACCATGCTACTGTTCGTAAAAACGAATCAACTGGGATTTCATGAATGAAGCCTATAGCTGTTTATTAAGGAAACATTCACAGAACGTAGACACAGACCATAGCATTGTGCCAGGACCCTAGTGAACTTGCTGGAGACTTCGAAATTTGCATTTTTGTATACTGGGAGTTTTAAGTCACAAAATTTAAAAAGTAATAAAACTGGTGTCTTAGGAAATCTGGAAGCCATTCACAATGGCAACACTTCACCCTACTTCCTACCCTGCCTTCATAATACCTTTACCATCCTACATATTTTATGTTTTACCTATAGTCTCCACAGCAAAGCATAAGGCTTAAGGGTTCGTTCTGTTACAGTATCGCCGCCTAAATGTGACCACTATTAACCTTTGTGTTTCCTTCATCTTCGGGGTGAGGAGGGAAGGTCACTTTCGTGATAAGTGCACACGGCCGAATCTTCCTATAAAAATGTTTTAAACTTCTGCTGGCTGTCAAGTACTTCATCATGTTGTGTCCTTCAGCATCTCACACACCGGGACCTTACCGACAGCTGAATGCAAAACGCTGCCCGACGCTGTAACTCCCGTAACCCGTCCTCCTGATTTGCGTTCCTAGCTCCGCGCCAGGCTGCAACGTCATCACGCTGGGACGTTAATGCCTCGGCCTGCGGCGCCTTGCGCATATCTGACGTCATGACGTAAGCCTAGCAACAGCGCAGGCTCCCGGCCGAGTCCATTATGGCCGCTACCGCCCTGGGAAGGATGAGAGGGGCTGTGCAAGCGAAGCTGCTGCCGGGGTCGGGAATGCAGGCCCCCGGAGGGCTGGCGCGGCTGCTGGTCCTGGTGCTCCTGCTGGTGCCTCTCGTGACCACTGGTAAAGGGTGGGGGCT